CCCTGAAGAAAGGCGGTCTTGAGATCAAGGTGAAAAAGATCCCAATAGTTGTGTCTGCTAGGAACCAGAAGGGTGTAGTGAAGTTTTGCCGTGCTTTTTTTGGCTTGAAGCCGATGGGACCAACCTAAGTTACTTATGTGTTTCCAGGGCTTGCAAAACCGAATGGTAAGCGCCTTTGTAGGAAGGGCCTGCCATGTTGCATCTTAAAACCGCCAGCGAACAAGGATTTCTGCCCCAAAGCGACAAAACCAAAAGTGACACTCTCTATGGGAGGCAGCAATCAGAGCAGGAAACGATGTAATTCGTTCAGAAAGAGAGCCGGCACACCGCGGGAACTGCGTGTTTTAGCACTCAAGCCTTCGACGTAAAGAGCTAGGATTTCAACCCCTGCCCAGCAGAACTGTCACGCAGACACGCCTTGTGGCTGTCCTTTCAACCGCTAGCTCGCGGAGAAGCTACAACACAAAACCAACACAGGCGGTAATGCGGTATTCAACCCACTACAGCATCCCAGCTAAACAAGAGCTTCTCGGAAACAAAGCGCGAGCATCCCCTTCACAACCTTTTAGGCTGCAAGCAAACTCTGAGCCGCTTGCTCCGCATCAGGCCTCTTAGCAGCAGCCTTGCTTTTAGCAGTGGCCTTTTCGCTGAGACCTTTGCGTTTCTTGGAGGCTCGCGGCACCTTAGTCACAAGAAGCTCAGCCCATTCACGGGCTTGCTTGCTTTGGGACTCCTCCAACAGAGAACCAAAGGTGATGAACGGCTCAAGCTCAGGCAGGCTCATATCATCGGGGCTTTTCTTGGAAACAACGTTCCACATCTCCATCAAAGCACTCTTGCCGGACAGGAACTTGCCGTGCTGAGGTTTGACGAAAAGGCCATCCTCGTCGAACTGCGGCGTATCGCCGCCGCAGTACACCACGAAAAACTGGGTTCGACGGCAAACATCCTGGAGAAAGGTTGTTTGGCCAGGGCTTGCCGACACGGGCATGCCTTGCTCGATGAGGTGCAGCATTTGGTCTGCGGCCTTGATGGAACCCTGAGCTCCGGCACATGCGAAGTTGAACAGCTCTGATTCCATGACTTGCTTGCTGCAGCGGATGGCCTTGCCGATGTTGTGCAAAGCCGTCTCCAAAGGCATGCACTCGTCCAACAACATGCTCTCGAGACGCTTCTGGGCCTCTTCACTGGAAACGTGGCTCAAGAACGCCATGTCGATGAAAAAGTACTTGTCAAAGCCCAAGAGCTTGTCCTCGTGGGTCTTCAGGGCCTCCTGTCGGGAGCGGTTTGAATTTTGTTGGATCTGAAACCAATGCAGTTTGTTCGGTGATTCTTCTAAAGCTTTACGTGGTTTGATTCCCAAGGAATGTGGCTTTCTTTATCGTTGCGTGGCCTATGGCTGCAAAAACGGCCTCCGGCATTTGCGCGGCAGCATGAGTAGACAAATGCTCGAAAAACCGCAGTGTCAGCACTCCCGATCACCGTTTTGAAGCCAAGTTCTCTATGATTCAATACTGCATCGTAACCGTTTCTGCGTGCGCTGGGCACATGTATAGACCAAGAAAGCATATTACTGTCACACAAGCCATGTTTTCCAGTGAATCGAACGACACAGTCCCACACCTGAAAAGCCTCCGAAAATTCCCAGCTCCACAGTGTAAAACTTGCCGGCGACACAGTAATGGTACGATGTACTTGAAGAAGCAACAAAAAACCGTTGCGATTCTGCCAGGTCTAAATATTGGGTTGCAACATGTTCGCAAACACATGTCTCCATTTGGGTCTAGCGGACAGAGAGAAAGTCACCTCGAGCAAGCAGAACTAGGAACAAGTTGCCGGTTAACAAAATGTGGCTTCTTTGTTGTGGATTGTCTGCGTGCTTCTTGACTTGTCTCAAGTCGGACTGCTGCGGACGACAGCCACGCTTAACAAAATGTTTTTTGTGCGGGATTGTCTGCATGCTTCTTATCTCAAGTAGGACTGCTGCTGTCGACAACTACGATGAACAAAATGGGGCCTTTCTTTCTGGATTGTCTGCATGTTTCTTATCTCGACTCTGCTGCGGGCGACACCTACGGTTAACAAAATGGGCTTTTTTTTCTGGGTCGTCTGCATGCTTCTTATCTCGACTCTGCTGCGGGCGACACTTACGGTTAACAAAATGGGGCTTTTTTTTCTGGGTCGTCTGCATGCTCCTTATCTCGACTCTGCTGCGGACCACAACTACGGTTAACAAAATGTTTCTTTCTGTCGATTGCTTATGGTATGTGACTTCGGTGTTAAGCTTTTACACAAAACGGCTTGCTTGACGAACAACTTTGTTGACTAGAAGAAGATTGGAATGCAGTTTCATGGGTTATAAGTTAGATTTTCTGTTTGTTAATGCTATGGGAGCTCTGGGTGGGTGGGTTTTTTCTACACTCAACAGAACGAGCCTACTGGAGATGGCTAGACCTAGAGCTATTGAACCCGAAACCCTAAACCCTAAACTCTATAAAAGAACAAACCATGTCATCTGGAAACACCAAATCACCTAATGCAGTGTGTTTAGCGAAACATGCCGGAAGCAAGGACATCGTGATAGATGTTGCGTTCACGAAAAAAGCTCTGTCGGGCACAACGAAACGATCACCTGCCACATGCCACCTGACAACCCACCCGAAGGACATCTGGAAACTGTCACCACTGCTGTGCTGTAATACAAACCGCTCTGGAAGGAAACTATCAAACAACACGTCGGTGTTTAACGACAAAGGTTATAAGCAAACAGGACCTGTATCTTCAGGCCTTGCGCGCGCAGTTTACGCTTCTTTCTGTTTGCGGGCGGGGTTTTTGTATAATCTGTGTGTACTTTGCAGCGGCGTTCGGAGGTTCCAAACACGAAGTGCGTGCTTGCGCCGCCTTTGGAACTGCCTGCCAAGCACTGACACAAAATTTTTATGTGGTTTGCCCAAGCTTTTTTTTTTTGCAGGCTTGATTTTTGCCTGACGTCGCCTCTCTTTTTTGGCAGCCTGCTGTGAGCGGTATGTTTGCTTAAGCACATCGAGGAGAAGTTGTAGTATTCAACAGGCAAACCTGCTTTTTGCTATTTAGAAAGCAGAGAAATGTCGAGTGGCATAAACGATTGCTATGCCCCAGAACGCCAAAGCGGTCCTTCAAGCTTTCGCCGACACATTCCGTGCCGAGCAAGGTGTTCACCATCTTTCTCGCTTGGATGGCCGGCCCCAGCAGGCTTCCCTGAATCTTGGACTGCCGCACCTTCTTGGAACTTGGGCACAGGAATCTTTCTGCAGGCAGCAGCGGAAGCTCCCCTGTAGCCGAAGCGTAGCCACGCAGCGCAGCCTGCATTGCGTGGTCGAGTTGCTGCGCTGTGCTGCCGGCCTCTGTGACCACTTTCCAACCACGATACTCAAAGCTCACCTGCCGCTTTTGCTCCAGGGAAAGCTTTGCGGTTGGCACTTCCATGATGTCTTTCATGGCGGCTACCTTCGCAGTAGCCAGCACATGCTCATCAATCTTGTCCATTGTCAACAGCTGCTCCGCATGGCGTTGGATCACTTCGGTGATCTGCTCCTGGGCCACCAGCTTCCCTGCAAAGCCAAGAAGCCTTTCCCCCAGCAAGGAGGAGGAGATGATGAGGTTGAGCTCCTTCGACACTGTGGACCAAGATGTGCCCTCGGGGCAAGCACGGATCTTCTGAACGGCCGCTGTCGGTAAGACAAGAGGCCAGAGATTCTCGTGCGCGCTGAAGAATGCTTCAGGACCCAGACCTACACGACTGCCGCGCAGAAAAACCTGGCCAAGTTGCCAGGGACTCCGAAGCGCTACTGCGTTTCTACCGAATTCATGCTGCGAAAACGTGGAACAACCCTAATCTGCGCTCACAAACCTCAAAGCTTCTGATCCTGCGCCGCTCAATGCTTTCAGCTGCGAAAGGCAAGTCCAAAAAACAACAATCTAAACACGTCACATTTCTCAATCCTCCCCTGCGCAGTTTTCTTGTTGTCTACCCGCTTCGCCCCAAACAAAGGATGCAGTCTCAGGCCTGAAGAAGGACTTCGTCGAACTTCTCCTGCACTAGCTTGCACTCCTTTGCGAACTTGCTGGTGAGCTTCAAGCGCGCCACTAGCTCCAGCACGCTCTTACAAGCCTCCAACTGATCCGCACTTGATGCCGGGTGCAACTTCATGAACCACCGGAATATGCCAACCACCTCGGTTTGATTGAGATCCTTAGCCGTCTGTAGAAAGCACAGCATGAGCGAGCGGTTCGGCGGATGCTTCATAGCCGCCGTCGCCGCTTCCAGAAGCTCAGGCCTGGCAGTGAGCGTGCTGTCCGGTTTCAGACACTTCTCCGCTTTGTCAGCGTCTGTGTACAACTCCCTCAGAGAGTCGTAGTACTTCCGACCAAACTGCACTGCTTTCGGGTCTTTCTGCGCACGCTCTTTGTCGAGACGAAGGCGTGCCCGCAAGGTAAGGCCGTCCTTTACGATGCCATCGGTTTCTTTGGGCCCCAGTGATTTGAAGTTGTCGCTGAGGCTCTTCCGCACTTGCTCATCGACACCGGGTTTTCTCTTGTTTCTCGCAGGCTTCTTGCCCGACAGCTCGTTCCACGAGCTGTCGAGAGCTGACTTAGGCTTTTCGGGCGTCTGCAACATGGCAGCCGCAAGAGAGGCCACGGCTTCTAGCAAAACTAACTTCGGGCCTTGGAAAGATAGCAGATGTCAACTTCACGCAGTGCTTGCACAGCCGTCACACTGCCAGCAAAACATGAGTCTGCATTGCAAAGCTCCTCTCAAAACACATGCGCAAGCTGCACTTCCTACCTGCCATGCACAGCTGGACTTGGAGAACTTACCGCACGCACAAAACTACTTATGTTCCCGGATAAACGACAAACTCGTCTTGCAGCGACATTCAAGATTTCCGGCACATTTTGGAGCCAGGGGGCCCTCCTGCGTCGAGGTACATTGGGACGCATTTGACGACCCATCATTTTCGAGTTCTGGTTGGCCTGCCATTCGAGGTCGCGTGTATCCGACTTCAATCCGAAAAAAATGCTACGATATTCTCCGCCCACATTTTCCACAACCTATGTTCTATTTACATCGACATCTTCGACGCGGATTTTTGGCTCGCGTGGATTTTTCCCTGCGTGGAATTTGTGCGACGTGGATTCTTGCGTGGATTTTCATGCAGCATGTTCTCCTACGTCTGTTTAGGAGTTGCGCGGATTTTGGCGTGGATTTTGCGCGGATTTTTATAAGAGGCGTTTGTAATCTTTACGAAATTTCACGCAAACTTCACGACAAAATCCACGAGACCCAAAACAGATTTCACGGAATGATCACCGGGACAGGACGTCAAAATCCACGATGCGAAACTTCACCGAAGAGACTACAGTTGCGCGGATTTTCGCTCCTCTTCGGACCGTCGCAGGCCTGCCATAGTCCTCTCAGCCATGAGCCCCTTTAAGCTTTTCAGCACGAGCGTTTCGCTGTGGACGGCTGCAGAGCTTTGATGGCAGTCGCTCTTTTCAAAGACCTCCCCTGCATAGCAGCTAATGAGGCTTTCAGCTCCTCAGGAGGTTCGTACGACTGCAGCTCCTCTGAAGGAAACTTGTTCGCAGGCCTGCCGGCTGCATCCCAGACGCGTGCAAGAAACTTCATACGATCTTTCCAAAGCCTCGACAGGGCGCTGCCGCCGGCTTCACTGTAGATGTTGTTCTCAAACGAAGCCGACTTGAAGAGGTTGAACGTGTTGCAGAGCTCCCAAACAAACGTGTCCTTGCGGACGTCGACGCGAACGCCGTACACCTCACGTCCAACCCGCTGCATTTGCCATTGTCCACCGAGAACGGAAGTGCGGAAGAGGTCTTCGTCTGTAACGTCATCCTCCAGTACTCCCTGTCTTTGTGCTTCTAGCTTTTCGAAAACAGCAGTGTACTTCTCGTCGTCATCATTGTCTTCTGGAGGCTGAGTGCCGATGTTGCTGCATCCGGAAGCACCTGCCCATGCAGGCAAGTCGGACGCAGCGATTTTTGAAATGTCTTATATACTTCGTAAGGGGGCTGCAAACGCAGCAGTCCTCTTCCAAACTGCTATGAGACCCCTCAGAAAACCGCCTGCAAGAGACCTCGCATATGACGCAGAACAACGAAAAAATGGAGGCTTTGGCTCTGCAAGCAAACACAACCCTGCAATTCGCCCAACATGCCCCTGCATCTTTCAGGAGTCTTCGGCACTTGTTTTTTTGTTATCGCCCCTACTGCCCTAACTCGCTTTCGGTCCGAAGACCCGGTACAGGACACCCTAAACTGGGTGGGACCGCTTACGTAGGGGCGAAATAAAGCAAAACAAAAAAAAAGTGTCTGAAGCACACCAGCATGGCAGGACTCTCCAGGGTGCGAAAGCTCTGAAGCTTAGGCCCTCTCTATTCAAACGAACCAGCAAGCTTGTATACCGAATCTAAACCTGCAACCCATGGAACCTAAACCGCGCAGCTTCACAAAAATTACGTCTGCCGTGAAGGCCTACAGTTCCTACTTGATGGCCGCATGCTTGAGGATGCCATCTGCCGCGCTGCAACAGTCGCAGCTCCCGCTGCTGTTTGCTTACTATTTTGGGTAACGGGTTTGAGCCTTGGGGGAGTACTCTATCTGGACGATGGAAGTGTGCTGCCGACGGGAGCTGTGGTTTGGGGGCATCCGGTTTGAGGGCATGTCTTCTCTAGTTACTCTCATCGGATGGTATCTCGCACTCCCCTCTGCCGCTGCTGCACCTCCCCAAATCTGTTGCAGCAATGTGCGGCCATGTCAAAAAAGTTGCAAGTCCTATAGCTTAAGAACTGAGCTTCCAAGGTTTAGAGACATGTGGGCTTAAAACTCCGGGGTTTAGGCTTGAAGCTTCAGGTTGCGGGGTTTCCAGCTTCGTTTAGAAGAGAAGAGCTTTCCCTGCGAGATCTTCAGCGGCAGCCGTGCCCTTGACAGAGCTGCCCACCCCCACCCCTAATCCTAAACCCCAAGAGTGGAAGCATAGAAACGGTGCCCAAACCCGAAAGCCGTCGTCGTCAAGCGGCCTGCAGCTGCTTCTTCTTACTCCCTTTTTTTTTGGCGACCGCCCCTACTGCCCTAACTCGCTTTCGGTCCGAAGACCCGGTACAGGACACCCTAAACTGGGTGGGACCGCTTACGTAGGGGCGGGAAAAAAAAACGACAAACAAAAAACAGTGCAGCTCCGTCACCGTCAAGCACCACCTGGTTTGTCTCTGCTTGTAGAACGGAATCCCTCGAGCTACAAGTCCAAACTTGGAACTTCGGAAGAAAAGAGCTAAACTCAAGAACCCACCGGCCAAGACGTGAGGCTCAGATCTAGAACTATCTGGATAGTGTCGCATCTGCACCGCTACGATTGCAGTCACTCGTGTGTGAGGTTTCGGGTGCTTTGCTTCAGACTGTAAGGATGATGGCCAACACTACATAGCTCAAGATGGCGTGTGTCATGCTTCAACCTTGCAAACCGTCCCGCAAATGATGGCCTGAAGCCGCCGATGCCGTCGAGCTTGAGCTCAACACAGACGCCAACCAGGGATGCTTGCGCAGGACTTCCGGCTCTGCAGCCCTTTTGGTTCCAGTTGGCGACACTGCAGCACTGCTGGTAGCACGAGGGGGTAGGTCGAGCAAGAGTGCCTTCACGATAGGTTCTAGTGGCTGAAGGACGTCGCGGGACTGCACAATGCTGCGGCCAGCGAACATCGTGTGCATGATCACACCGACGGAGTCCATAGAGGCATGCCTGAAAATATTTGCAGTCGCAAAGTTTCCGGGCACGAAAGTCCAGCACCAGGGAACATCCTGAAACCATTGCTCATCAACAGATGCTGTGCTGCACGAAATGCCACGATCCACGAGTTCCTGCAGCTGAAGCTGCAAGAAGAATGCCTTGTAAGGGCTCTGCATCGCGAACAAAAACCGATAGAACTCCATGCCACCTTCGTTGGACACCTGAAAAACCGCGGTGCTGAAGTGATCTCGCAAGCGACAAAGAACACGGAACATTTCCGGGAAGTCCTCCTGCAGGGCGCCGTCTATCTCAGAGTTTCTGCGAAGTTCTTCCATCTCGGCCGCAGAGACTGGCAAAGGGCACGCTGCTGCATCCTGAGCTTTGGCCTTGGAGGGAGCGATGTCCCGCTGAGAGTGCCCGGCAAGATCTTGCAGTCTCCGCAGATCAGTGTGATCCAAACGGCATGCGCTGAGCAACATGGAGCCTGTGTCTGCGGTTGCTGACTTGGCCTCGCGAGCCACTTCCAGAAGCTCAGTCTGCACAGCTTCCATCTCCCCCTGCCGGCGCTGGAGCGCAGCGCTGCGCTCGACACGAGCTCTGCGCTCGTAGTTTTGCTGCGTTTCCGAAGACAGCTGCTTCCATTGGGCCCCGTGCAGTTGCATGATTTTTCGTCGCTTAAACTTCTGATTCCTTTGCTCTTCACGAATAGTGGCCTTGTGCATGATCTGAGCCAGGTAGAGCTGCCGTCCAGTTATGCGGTTTGGATTGTAGTGAAAGAACCGCTCCAATCTCTGCTTGAGCTGTACCTTGCGTTTGTCCGCGGCAGTCTGTCCCGGAAGCAACTGCAGGAATGTGTGAAGATACGCCCTGGCAGTAAGGAGCTTGCTTCCGATGTCTGGGTGATACTTCTTCACAAGGCTGGTCGATGCATGCTGTCGCTCCGTCAGCGCCGAGGTCCACGAGCACGAGCCCAACAAACCGACGGCCCGTTGCAAACGCAGGCGATTGAAGCCCGCAGACCCCAAGTGAAATATCTTGGATGCAACCGTGTCTTCAGGAGGTTCGGCTGCCTGCAGCAAATCGCTGATGTTTGCTGCAATATCACCCTTGCACAGTCGCCAGGGCAAACTTGCAGCCACGACCAAAACCTTGGATTCCAGAAATGCCCAAGAAATCAAACCGCCGGCGACGACCTTGTTGCGAAGATCATTTGCTGGCATGTTCGCACCTCTAGCCAACAACTCCCAGACGGGTGTTGGCAAGTAACCCAAGAAATCAAACTCGTCAAACAGAGCAGTCTGTAGCTTCTCCTGGATGCGAGCCACCCGACCATCTTTCAGAACGTGCAGCAGAAAGGTCTCGGACACGTATGCTGACAAGCCCACGACGAAAACGAACTCAAGGGCCGCCTGGTTCAATCTCTGGATGCCATGCCAGGTGAAGTCAGTGATCACGTCCTGCTCCCGCATGAACTTCAGCAAGTGCCAGTAGCCTGTCAGCACTGCAGCTGACAAGCATCTGCACGCGGAACCCATGGTGCACCATCTGGAAGATGTGAACTTCTGAAACCGCCAAGTTGCCAGCAGGCAGGTGGAAAGCGTTTCAAGAGCATCTTTCCGACCCAAAAAGTCTTCTTCAACACAGAGATCGTTTTGATGCCACAGAACCCTCATGTCTGCAAGCTCACGCGCTAAGGTTTGCTCCACGCCTAGTGACACCCACAAAAAGTACAAATGCTCTGCAGAGGGAAGCTCGCTGGAGGGCTTTGCCTGCACACAGCTTGCCAGCCATGACCCGAGAGTATCCGTCGAGTGATAGTAAGCACTTTTGATCGCACTGACAGATACATAGACATCTTCCAGCAGCGACTCTTGACCAAACAATGCATGACTGATGCGACCATTTCAGCGAGTTGTGCCCGTCGTGGCACGCGCATCCGACGGCTGTATGCCATGAGAACGCAGACGAACTCTCAGTCATATCAATCGAGTCTGGTGGCATGCTGGGTGCGGCAGCTTCCTTCGACCACCACCCTGACAGAGCCTCAAGGAAGCTGTTGCTCACCCCACGATCGTGAACTTGATGTCGGATCAGAATCTGATCAGACTCTGCCGGCCTTAATCTGATGCCTGGACACAACTTGGCACAAGCCAGCAAGGCAGCCATGGTTTTCCCATGTTCCAGTCGCTGCGGCTCAGGGTACAGCAGCGTGTGCTTGTACTCGCCACCAGCACCCAAGGTCGTGACGAATACCTGTTGGCAGAGGAATTCGTCCGTGCTTTTGCCAGCTCGTCGAACATTTTGCGTGCCAGACTTGGCAGACACATGCTTCGTTGTCGTCACCGGTGTGAGGTCCACCGAGTACTGGCACAGAAGTGGCGGCTGGTGAAGCTGTGTCGCAGCCCAGCAAGCTGCCCGCTCCTTCAGAAGCGCCTTGCCCGCCGCGCAGAGCAAGAATATGCGGCGGGTCTCATCCTTGCTACATGACCGGCTGCACTGAGCAAGCGAACGCAAGTCCTCCAAGAAGACTTCTAAAGTTTTCAGCTCAGCATGGCCTTGAGCATTCATGTGCTGCGGTCTTTTACTCAATGCACTTAGCAAGCTTCTTCCACGTTGCATGCCGCATCCTCCTGAACCGACGTCGTCGCTCAAGAAGTTCCCACAAAGCGAGATTTCAAGATTACAGAATTTCACGCAAAATCCACTTAGCCAAAGAGCGCCCCTAACAATAGTGATTAGCAGCACACTGCGCAACCAAACGGAAACCGTACCGAGTAGCGGTAGGGCTGTCAGTTTGCTGATC